GCGTGCGTGGGTGGGTGGGTGGGTGGTGCGTGGGCGGGCGGGCGGGCTGGCGGGCGGGCGGGCGGGCCGGCGGGTGGGTGTGTGTGTGTGTGTGTGCGCGTGTGCGTGTGAGCGCGTTGTGCGTGCTACCCCCCCCTCCCCAACACGCTGGATCCAACATTTTGCGGCTGGGTGAAAAACGGTAGATCCTTGAGGGCAGGGATACCTGATCAACACGTACCGTCTCGCGGTTGGGTGAACTCCACCAATGTGTAAACACTTCATCACCGGCCCATGTTGTCCCCAAGCGCTCTATCGGAAGTCACCGGAAGCAGTCGACAGAAAGGAACGGTGCAGGAATATCAGACTCCACACAAGTTCACGGCAGAGGCCGAATCATGAATGCGTCGCGGAGGCGGAATTAAGCCAGATGGTTGAGTGCAGGGATCTGTGATGACTTGCCGCCGCTTCACCGGGCAGCTCCAGAGCCAGAGTCTAGTATGGCCGGCCTCTTCCTTTGGGCGCCTCCGCTTCCTTCGGGTCGCCTCGGTCGAGTTGCGAACTCGGGGGAGGACCGGGGACCCTTTCAGACGAAGCTCTGCCGGCTGCGGGTCAACTTCCACCAGAAGCTCCGGGAGTGTGCGTCTGCAGGGCGTGGTGCTGATGGTATCTCCGTGTGAGCTCTGATGGCTCTGCAGTCGAGCCTGAAGGAATTCCACAATGTCCGTGCCAACGGATCCTCGGCGACGGCTACGAGCCCCGAAAGACTCGCAACGCTTCAATTTCAAAGCGGTCGCAATAGCCAAGGATCCGCATGCTCACCTGCAAAGAGGCTGTCTTTCAGGAGGTACTCGTAGAAAGAGTCGCCGCGGCTTCCCAACGAAATGCGGTTCTCTGGAGATGCGAAAGTGGTACCATCAGATCTCCTTAGCTCTGCCTGCTGCAAACAGGCAAAACCACAAGCAGTAGCTTTTGAATGGGAGGTCAGACAAGGCACAGCAAGATGGCACCGAGACCCCGATTCTGGAGGTCCAGGGAAGAGTTCAGGGTGCGTAACACCTGATCCTGAGCTCGCGAGTAAGTACCTCGGCTGCATCTGATTCTGCCCTTGCTCTCGTGACTCTCGTGCCTTTAAACTGAGGGTTCTCTGCAAGTCGCAGTTGCCAGTCAATGCAGTCAAATACTTCCATTCCTCGACTGAAGACTTCGAGGCAAGGAGAACTTTGGCAGATCTAACTCCACCTACCCAGCTGCCGAAGTGCCATCGGAACATACGCTTCAGCGAGGGAGACGAAGCCAGCAAGATTCTTTGCTTCCTGCACGGGCACATAATTGGCAAACTCTGTGTACTTCTAGCTGCATAGCTTGCCCATGTCAATGTCGTCTCGGTGCAATTGAGGATCTCCCGTTTTCAGGTTCACATCTGACGAGGGCAAGCCTGGGCTGGGGTTGCCATTGAAAAAAAGTCTCATCAAGAACAAAGAGCACCAAGACCCCGCGCTTGCTGGCGCAGTTTTGACATCTTTCCTTAGCCACAGGGTGCATCGATGCTTGCCCCAGTGCTGTTGGGGAATCTTTCAGTTTGAGGCCAAGGTCTGCAACACTTTGGAGACTCGCACCAGGACGAATGACATGTGTCATGTTCAGGCAGTTTAGGCTGCTGCGAAGAAGCCTTATCGGACAACAGCCGGCCCTTCATTTGAAACTAATCCCCAAATTGACATGCCTGACTTTGACGTCACAAACAGCAATCGAAACCGCGACCCGTAGATACCCGCTACTTCACCGAGGCCAGTGCCAGTGTGACGGCTCATGTCAATCACCATTCTTGCAGGGTCTTTTCGTGCTTGGGACGATAGAGAGGACACGCGAAGGAAATGTGGGGTCCTTCAGAGCCAAGTTTCGCGACCTGCGGGCTAGGCCGCAATTCTCTTAAAAACTACCCCTCAGAGAATACGTCTAGAAATGCTTGAGAAGCTGAGCGTCCCAAGCACCGTGTCCAACGTATTTTGTGGCACACCAACCTGTTGCAGCAGCTTCTTGACGTCGTCTGTCCATCCGGTGGCGGCGTCACCTCAAGTCGCCACACACTGGAGAGAAGGAGCAGGAACGAGCTCTTTGACCAGGCGCCTTCCGCAGGTGCAGGTGGACTACGGATTGCCGGCATGCTCGGAAACGCTTGGATCCTTGGTTTGGGAAGGGGAGCTCGCTGGGCTGCACAGCAGAGGCTGCAGTGTGCAAGTGAGCCACAGGCGGTCGCCCAGATCCACTGCTTTGGCCAAGAGCTTAGGCCTTCCACTCAACCTCGACTCGACGACTGAAGATCGGATCGGGCTGGCCCTCGGCTCTCCGAAGCTTCGGTCTGGAGGCGCGAAGGCAGAAAGAAGCCCGCCCAAATGGCGAATGGTGGTTTCGAAGAGATTCACGTTCAGGTCATGGGCGAAGCCTCGCAAATTACAAGGGGCCAGGACACAGGACTCAACCCACTGCTTTCGAGCCGCTCAATGATTTCTCCACCCAGGCAGCTGCCCGGTCGAATTCCTTTCACGTGAGATGCAAGAGCTTAGCACGCGAGGGCGTGGATTATGAAGCTGCCGAGGCCTCTCTAAACCCCATCAGCCACAGCGTGTCCATGGCATCAACCAGCGTCTGGCCAATGCCCCCCCAGCTGTCTTGGCCAGTGCCAGACACCGGCCTCGACATGAAGAATGGATACAATTTGATACAATCAGTCAAAAAAAGTCTGCCGAATGCCAATCTGCTCCCACGCACCCACAGTCTCTAGCCGAAAATACTTCTTGCCTGAGCTCATCCTTGGCGAAAGCACGCTTCTCGTAGTTCCGCCAAACATGGCGCATCATTGACAAAGCCTTCTGGGGCTTTGTATGAGATGCCAGAAAGCAATGCAGGCACAATCAGATACTGGCAGAAGTTGCTGCTGTGAGTTTTGCCGGCCTGGCGCCGGGCCAGCTCGGACTCCTCGGCGAGGTACTGCTCGGCTTCCGCAACGGCCTCTGCCTCAACCCTGTGCCGTCGTTGCCGGCACCTCAAAAGACCAGTGGCTTTCCCCTTCTCTCTAGGGCTCTCTTTCCCCAGGGTTAAGGCCAGAGTGATAGACCCCTCCCTCTAGTGCTCTGTCTCTCTCTCTCTGACTCTCACTCTCACTCTCACTCTCACTCTCACTCTCACTCTCACTCTCACTCTCACTCTCTCTCTCTGACTCTCAAAGAACAGTAGCTCGGACCTTTCCCACGCACGCACACCTGCATGTTCTTGTAGGTTTGCAGTTCCGAGGGCAGTTTGCTCCCACCGCTCGGGGATACAGATTGCAGGCACTGTCATCCCCCATCGCTCTTGTTTCGCTCTTTCTTTCTCTTTTTGCTGCTAGGCTTTGGGCCCACGTGGTGACCCTCAGGCCGGTCCGCCCAACCACACAATGTGTTATTGATCGGTCGGCGTGTGGGGCCCCAATGACTGCTGCACTTGAAAACAGGGTATGCGCCGTGTCTGTCTGCTGCAAGCCCCTCCCCGAACGCTAAGACGCCTATGATGGCCTCGTCCACATGATCCTTTAGCACTCATCTGCGGCTTGCAGACGTCAAACAACGATGTATAACCGCCATGCTTTGGGTCACAGGTGGGTTCAACAGCAACATCATCTACAGCTCTCTTTCTCGTTTTCTCTCTCCCTCTGCTAAATGACACGAGCCCAATGTACCCCGGAATGAACATGATGCATTATCGAGGGCTACGATGACTGCTCGAGGACTGACTGGGTCGCACAAAGGAATGCTTGCCTGACTGGTTGTGGGTTGGGAAACATGCTGATATTGGTTGCTCTGGATTGTTTATATTGTATAGTGGAATTTTGCATGGTAGCGGAGCTTCGGCTCTGGAGACAGGGAAGCAGTGAAAGATAATGGATTTTGGAACAGAGAGATCAAACTGTTCCCTCCCCCGACCTACCACGCTGAGTTGGAGAAATGGGAGGACTGGTCATGGCCGCAGAAGCGATACATCGGACTGCACCAGCCACTTGCCAAATTGATGATGGATGATGTTGAAGGAGCCAACACTGTGATCACTGATGACCCGAGTCAAGCATTGGACATCCAGCAAACGCAATCACAAACGAATCAATTGACACTTGAGATTTTGCGATGATTGCATAAACCATTTTCGCTACCCGAAAGAGCTCGAGCCACGAATCTCGTGAATGGGATCATTGGCTTCAAGCTCAGGAATGATCATCTGGAGAGTGATTTGAGTGATGTCATGATCTTGAAGAAACGACATGAGAAGACGACTGGTAGGCCACTGGACAATGACTTCTTGATCACGATGAGACTGTTGATCCATTGCAGCAGCACTTGCGGTTGAATGTTCGAAGTATCATGACGTTCACTGAGGCCCTGCAGATTGTGTATAGTTACATCAAGAAAAGGCATCTGACTGTACCGAGTGGTAGGATTGCCCATCAAGGCCACACCGACATGGACATAGGAGCACTGAAAGGACGGAAAGGATGGAAAGGAAAAGGAATGAAAGGCAAAGGAATGTACTAAGGAAAAGGAAAAAGATACAAAGGCAAAGGAATTTACAAAGGAAAACACAAAGGATACAAAGGCCAAGGAAAAGGAATGAACAGAAAAGGAAAAGGACGATGGTGTTTCTTGTGTGGAGACTAAAATGTCTGAGTAAGGAAGGTCCTAAAGGAGGTAAAAGTAGAATGTCAGCGGTGACTGAAGAGGAAAGTCAGCAAGAGAATCGTCAAGGTGAACGGAATCAGGATTCAAGTCAGGATGGTGACTGGTACTATGATGATTAGTGGTCTTGGGATGACCATGATTGTGTACAGATTGGAGTCCTGAGTGGACTGGTTGGTTTGATGGTGACGACTGGAGTTACTGGCCGGATGACTGGCCCTGGAACACGCAAGATTGGTGGAATGCGGAACAGCCGAGTTCTGCGACTGCGTCCGGATCTCAGAGTACTGGCCTGCAGGACGCCGCCAAGAGCGAACCACCTCAGTATGTCGCAGTAGTGACTGTCGAAACTCAGGAGCGGAATGCACCTAAGCAGGTTAGGATGGTGACTCGATTGATGTGTGCATGTCGATGGCAATTGTGCATGGGATGTGAATGTCTTCGTGGGTTCTGACTGGACTGAATGCTCAAAAACTCGGAAAAGCAATAGCGGATCCACTGTGAATGTCCTCGGGCGCAACATGGTGAGCACTGCGCGGACTCAAGGCACACTGGCCTAATCGTCCGGAGAAGCGGGGTTGTATGCGATTGGCCAAGGAGTGTCTGAGGCACTGTTCCTTCGGTCAATGTTGCTTGAAGCACAGCTGGCGAAGAAAGGCAATGTGATTGCCGACACGGACTCGGGCGCTGGCAAATCAACGGCAACCCGCTTCGGCACTGGCAAGAAGACGAAGCATGTGGAACTGCGGTTCTTGTATGTGCAGAATCTTGTGCAGATGGGTTTGCTGAGAATCGCCAAGATGGACGTCACGTGGAATCCCGGGGATCTAATGACCAGATGCGTGGCCACTGATGTGTTACAACGACTGCAGACCGAGCTGGGAGTGGTTTCGAATTGGTTCAAGAACAAGGCCGCCACCGACGCTCATGATCTTGATGAGCATGTTGCCGCTCTTCGCGCGCTCCCACTGGAATTGCATGCAGCGTGTGCAGCGCATCTCTGGACGCCGTTGGACTGAAGTCCACGCCGAGGGACTGTGTGAGTTGCAGCTTCGACGGCAGCGTTGCATGTTCTTGAGGGAATGCATGTCGCATGTCAACGTGCAGTGTAGCGCACGACTGTCATGTGCACTGTTTGCATTCCTGAAAAGCCCAAAGGCAAAGAAAGTGAGTGTGAGAGAATGAGAGCGAAGTTCTTCGGTTGCCGAAACTCTTTCGGATCTAGCGTAGACCGCACCCGAAGGGATTGCAGGAATGTGCCGACAGTTTTTCCGGAAGCTCCGACTGGAGATTGTTAGTTGTTTCGCCCGACTGTTTGCCAAAATGCCGTTGTTTCGCGAATTCGCCCGACATGTAATTCTCTGATGTGAGACAAGTGATCATGCGCAGTGCCACAACGCAAGGGACTGTCTGAGACACCTGAATTGCGGATTGATATCAAAGTGTTTCCCCTCCGAAATGTTCTTCTGAATATTCCTCAGTGCGACCTCCGAGTGCCTAGAGTGTAGACTGCCTCCTCTTTGCCAAAACTGTTGCCGTAATGCAGCAGATTGTGACGCCAATCCCGGAAGAACGGATTGAAGCCATCACTGGGGATGAGCTGGCTGAGGCCCCGGCCCAACTGAGTGACCGGACTGGTTGCAATGCACATGAGAATTTGCATCGTCTGGCAATCGGCAAATCCGATGTCCGCCCGGATGCGACTGTTGGTCCACACTTCGAATGGCGCAGCAGCAACGGCGACAACCAAAGCCGAGGCCAAGGCAAAGAATGCCCTGCGACGGAATGCGACTCCGACTGCTGTTGGAAATGTTCCGAATGAGGCCCGTTATGCGATGAATGAGACGCTGGTGCCGCACAAGCTGAGCCTGAATGGTCCAGTGAGCCTCGAGCCATGCAGAAGTGGCAGATCACCAGACGGACTGTGTGTGGGCTGGACTGGACAGCCACGTGACGACTGTGGGTGAAAGTAACCACGAGAGACTGGTCACTGAGGCATGCGACCTCGCCGACAGAATGCTGAGGTCAGTGGCTGATGCACTGTATCGGCACGAGTGGGAAAGAGACCACCCCACTGTTGAGTGCGTTGCTGCCAGGCACACGCTCCGGTGGACTGAGTGCACGCTCTCGAATGGCCCAATGTCGTCATTGCTCTTGAGAATGTCTTCGCTGGGATTTAATGTCGCCCAGAATGACTGGCATGCAGTCATGGGGGTGGAGACTGTGTGGCTTGCAACAACCAAGGCTGAACGAATGCTCCTCACGAAAGGAAACTAAGGTCCTGACAGGTCCTGACCTACAACCTGGTCAGGGTGTGTATGACTTGGGCGCCTGCCCCTAAGCTTGGCGAAATGGGCTCTTTGGGGATGGCTTCTGGGTTTGAGCCGCTACCCTTGGAGGCTTCAATACCCTAAGTGCCTTGAGGAAGAGTGTCCAATGGGCCGACCAGAATGTCTACACGCCGAGTGAATGCGAGGACCCGATTGCCTTCGTCGTTCTCAGACGAACGACTGCAAAGGCCTGTCGCAGATGGGTTAATGCAGGACCCAGAGCCGAGTGACATCAAATCAAACTGGCCAACTACCTCAATCGCAAACTCACTGATCAAATTTCGACCTTTGAGGCGAATGATCAGAATGGCAGCAACTGGGTGTTGACAATGTCGCCGAAGTAGATTGCCAGCCTGGGCATAATGCGAGTGCCCATGAATAATATCCAATGTGTCTACCCTTGCCCAAGGTCCTACTGTGCCTGAATGAAGCCATCGACTGGGGCTACCGAGGCACAGGACTTGTGGGTCACACCATGGTGTCACTGGTGCAACGCAATGGCGGTGGACTGGAGCATGACTGTTCCACTTGGGATGACCTGTATGAAGATGATGCCGGCGAGAAGCCGAATGATCCCAATGCCTGGAATGATCCCACCAGCAGCTCGAATGGTCGACCAATGGCAGCGACTGCTATCGCCCAGTTCGCCAATGCCCTGCAGCCCGGCGCGGAGATTGTCCTGCGCATGATTTCCATAGGCATGAAGTGAGGCCACGAATGAGCCTGGAGTGAAGTTGGGAGTGCTATAGCAAAGGCCGCATGCTTTGCAATGTAAAGTCTTTGTTCCCGGGTCCAATGATGCCAATGATGTATGGATGAATGCCCGATTGCCTGCGAATGCTTTGTACAGTGCATTGGGCCTCCACTTTTGCAATGGCTCAAATGCTGACCGAGTCGAGCCAAAACGTCCGGAAAGAGACCACTGGCCTGTGGCAATGCTGTTTGTGAATGTTTCTTGGTCGCTTCGCGAATGATGCCGTGTAGTTGTGCAATGGTTGAATGTTTGAATGATCCTTGACGGAAGTCAGGATCCAAGGGCTGTGTTATATGACACGAGCCCATTGCATCCCCGAATGAACATGATGCATTATTGAATGCTACGATGCCGAATGGCATTGGCTCAAGACTGCTCAAGGATTGCCTTGGTCGCACGAGGGAATGCTTGCCTGATTGTGTTGTGTAGGAAACATACTGACATTGGTTGCTCTGGGTTGTTTGTATTGTATAGTGAAATTTTGCACTCTCTTTCTTACTTCTTGCGAGCGAAAGCTAAGCAGAGACCGGGCACTTGCAAACCAACTACCCAAGAGGAAAAAAACCCTCCCTTTGCCCAGTATTGGGGCTTGTTCGGCTTTCCCGCGGCATTCACTCCGGGCTCAAGGTTGTGTCCCCGAGGAACCATTGCTCCCCGGGGCTGACTCTCTCTGAAAGGAAAACAGCGTGAATAAGGTGAGTCTCTTTGCTTTCGCCAAGGCTTGGGGCAAGAAGGGCAAGCCCCCCAAGGTGAGCCTCTCAGGTCTGTACTGCGTCCAGCGCAAGTCGGCGTGAAAACACTGGGGTTGTTCCCCGATTGCACCTTAACCCTTTCTCAAAGCCTCCCCCGCCTGCATCCCGAACCAAACGGAACCTTGCACAGCACTGCCTTTCACCTACCTGCCTGCCTCAACACTCCGACCCTGTAGCCTCTCTTTTGCTTTCGCCAGGGCTGCGATGGGGAGTTGCCTCTCTCTTGCTGTCTCTCCAACCGCTTGGCTGCATAAGTCTATACCTTTGCCGAGAAGCTTAAACGCTCGAGACAGCTGTGGGCAGTAGCCGCACATGACGTCTGAAAGACCATCCAGCTGAGACATTGAGAACGACGCCAACCTCTCAATTTCAACTCGGTAAAGGCACAAGTATCCATCAAAGTCTCCATGGATTGATGATTGCCAGCAATTTCTTTGCATATCATTCGTTCAAGACACGTCTGTGGATCCCATATCTGGGCAAGTGCTGCGACAGTCTGTCGTCTTTCCGACGGTCGAGCTGGAGCCTGTCCGGGCCATGTTCGATGTTCACTAGAAAGAGATGTACCTTGATGTTTCTTATTTCGGGCCTCGCCGCAATCAATTTCCCTATGTCCTCTGGGTTGTGCTGATGCCATCCTGTCAGTCGCCAGCACATAACACCCCCGGCAACAGGAGGCAATAGGGACGTACGGTCCTGCGCCAAGGCGGCGAGGCAAACGGCAGCAGAAGAAGGAGGAGGATTCTCGGCATGTCCGTGAACCTTGACGCCACATGAACTTGCACTCTCGCATGCATGCTGAGCAACTTGTACTGTGCCCAAGTCGCACATCACAGTTGCAGAAGACGTCTGCTCCACATGCAGCATTGATGAGCTGAACAGGAGGACTCCAAGCGCAGATTGTTCAAGTGGTGACTAAACCGTGGTGTGCATGCATTGTGCCATGACTGTTGTTGCATGGCCACCCTTCGTTGATCTCTGCATTCAATCACTGCCGAAGGCTGCCAGATCTTCATGAACGGCTCTGCTCCCAAAATGATGCCATGTCAGCTGAATGCGGCACTTCAAAATGCTGCAAAATCTCTCTGCTTCTGCTTTGCGGTGTTGAGCAGTCAGGCTTCCACATCAAAATCACATCCGACTGAAATCACAAACTTTCTCGATTTCGGCTCAGCTATTCAAATTTGCGATATGCTACTCACCACAAGACAAGCAATACTCGGCAGCAGTTGCACGAAACAAACACCCTCCAGGCACTTCCGGGCAAACAACGCACACACACACACACACATAAAATTCACATACATGCGCACAGATGCACAAGTGCATAGGCACACAGTTGTGCGAAGGCATACGCCGATGGATTTGACAGCAGAAACACAAAAGGTTGATAAGATGATGTGGCGCCCATGCGGCGTGCCCCGGCCCGAGCATGGACGCCTGTCGATGTGTAACAACCCAGGTCATACGAGAGAGCCCCGAACTCTCGAGCTCCTTCGCTGTTTTTAGGGGCTGCACAACAAAATCGTGGACACCAGCAGTCGAAAAAGAAACATCAAGGTCCTTTCCAGAAACAAGCGCAGTCTCGTCCCCGCACCTACGTCCTTTACTCTCTTGTGAGATCCCTATAACCCTTTGGCGAGAATCGGACCGCCCGCAGGGCAACCTAGATCTCAACACGTCAAGAAAACTGGATGTCCAATGCGCTCCCACGTACCGCTGGGACTGCGCTCTGCTTGTCGCAGTGTCGCCATCGTCCTTCCCATGCAATCTCGACATGCCTGAGAACCTCAACCCCCCCAAGTCGTGCAGTGGTCGTGCAAGACTTCACAAGGAGCGCCAAGGACATGTCAAAGCCGCGGCCGCATGTTTGACCGCAGCTGCTTCGTCCGTGAAAGTTTTGTCCCATCATTGCTCGCAGATCGCACCGCAGGTTTCGTTACTGCATGCAGACTTACGCAACTGGCCTGCCAATATTTGGCGCCATTTCGCGCTATAGCTAAGCGGTCACAGTGATGGTGAAACAGTGGTTGGGGCACTTCAGCTCGTTTGCGAGAAGGGCCCATTTGGAATGTCTGCTCTTTGTCGGATCTCTTCCAGCGTCCAATCCTTCAGGAGCACTCCATCGCGAAACACCTCGACGAGCAAATCCTGCCACAAGAGATGGTACAGTAGTTTCAGACAACAAGTGAACTTGGGCATGGACTTGACCTTATCTGAAGGGGTGAGTTGGACCCGAGCGGTTTCACAGTCCTTTTCCGGATCGCCTCTGCCACTAGCCACAGTGACGTATTGTCCGTTTGCCGTGTAGTGGAGGAAACCCTCTCCACCTGGTGTCCCGTTCTCGTCCTGCCGTGGCTTGTAGACGTCCTGACAAAAGGAGCTCGACTCATCGTTTAGGACGAATCCGCATCTCGCCCGCACCTCTTCGCTATTTTTCGCGGTGTCTGCTGCACGTTGCACAGTCAGACGGCCCTTCTTCGAAGCTTTGCCCTTGTCCGTAATCGGGTCCTGACGATAACAAAAACATCTGATAATCATATGCTCACTAGGCTGCCGGATCCAGTTCTCGGACACAGCACCCGCCTTGAAGACCACTCGAGCGACGCCGTTCACCGTAATCTCCGAGCACTTGAAAGCGCACTTGAAGGTGTCCCGATTCAGCTTTTGCAAGAGTGCTCCACCACTGCCAAAGACCATGTTGTCCGCAGCATAGCCAGCATCTTTCAGTGTGCCGAGAATCTTTGGTATGGATTCGTAATCCACGCCATCACCTCGGGATGCGGTGTCGGGACCACAAATCTTGAGTCAACAATCGGGCTCAGAAATCAAATGCTGCAAGCTGCCTGCCTTGAATCACGCGGATATAGGCTGGTAGCAGCTTGTGGCCAGTCGCGGTGACAGTGACATCCTCCTTGAACTGCTCGCAAAGTATGGAAAGAATTTGCACGCATGTCTCAGTGGGGTCGCCGCTGTCAGGCCGCACCACCAGTCGACCCCAACTGTCACCAGAGATGCGCCCCTTGATCAGATCCTTTAAGCTGGATCCCCAGTATTCACGACATGCTTTGAAGACGTCGAAAGAGTCGCTGACGCAAGCCACAATGCCTGTCGGATATTTCTCGAGCATGTTCTTCATGGCATCAACTTCGGCCTCGACGCCCCATGAGGTGATTGTGGAGTGTTCAGAGGCAGGAATGGAATTACCTGCGGCCTGCTTGGAGTGGTAGTACTTCTTCGTGCAGAGAAGAGCCGCCACAGTGTCCGTGCCAAGGAAATTCACCAAGTGAGCTGCGCCCCCAAGCGCTGCAGATTCCACGGAAGACACACCCCGGAAGCCGAAGTCGTGCAGCTTGAAGACAGAGCCTCCAGGAATGGCCCAGAAGTCATTTCCAGTCGCTTCGAGCGCTTCGTGAATTGACAGCTTCTGGTATCGGCTGTTGCTGCAAACCGTCATTGGGTACCAAACCTGCACCAGCAGCGTTTCGAGGAAGTTGGTCAACCAGAAACACTTTGGGTCTGTGTTGACCATAGTGAAAAGAGCCGTGCGGGTGGGCATGACCATGCCTTCGGGGATGGCTTTGATTGATATCGGCAGCTTTCCACCATGTTTCTCCAGGATGTATTCAAACCCCTCCTTGTAGAAGAGCCCTTCTCCGTTGAAGTGCTCGGAGCAAAGAGCTTCAGCTTCATCGATCTTTTCCCGCGAGATGACTGCACCAAGAAGGTAGCGTTTCAAGAAGTATTGCAGGCCAAAAAAGACAACCTCGTCCCACCCGCGATCACAACCGCGGCTCTCGAAGTAGCTATACCTTGCACTTCTGGTGAAGGAGGGGTCACATGGTTCGTTGTACCAAGAGCAGAAAGCACGCCTTTCTGAAGCTTCCAAGTGGCACGTACTCGGTTCCCGGTGGATACTGCTTCCAGTGGCTGAACTTGTAGCTGTCAGTGGCCAAAATAATGTTGTCCTTCCAGCCGACACATTGTGGCTTGCCAGACTTCGCAGACAACCAGGCCATGAACTCTGAGATCTTGATCTTGCCATCGCTTTGCGAAATATCCAAGACAGTGTCCGCATCTCTGTCGTTCATGCCGATCTTCACCAACACCTGCTTCAAACGGTCCAGCTCTACAGTGCCATCCGATCCGAGCTGCTTCAAACTCTCCTGGGCAATTTGACAAGCCGGCAGGCTTCACTTACACAAACTTTCAGACAGCACGAGGTCCGCCTCGCCTCGATTTGCTGGAGGGCCATGACAGTCTCACACCTACCATCGGCAGCCTCTCTACGTGCTTGTCCCGAGCCTAATGGCTGAAAGAGCCCAGCAAACACAATAGAGAAGATCTTCACTGCTCGCACTGCAAGTGGTCATGATAATCCGAAAGACTCGAGCGTCAAGAAAAGGATAGGCACCACTTCGTCAGCAGTTTGCTGACAGCTCATTTTTCGAGTTTCAATTCTCCGTCCCATCCCTGCAATCTCTGTACAACGAGGCCAGGGGAAGTTGGTGCCCACTGGAAGCTAGATTCAGAGAGTCTCCTTTCCACACCGGACCGAGTCCTTCCCATCGAGTCTCATATGCCGCAACAAAGCCTTAAGCCAGCAGTGGGTACAGCTCCAGCTTCTTGTGCTGTCGATGGCCTTCTCTGCTCTCATCGAAGATCGTTTCAGCAGACCGCACGAAGAGAATGCCCAATGCGAAGGAGAAGAGGAGCTGGATGTCTTCCTGGACTGCTCCATGCCAATAATCGGCTGGAGCCTCTGCACTGATGCCGCCCTCGCTGGCAGCCGCCAGAGTTGCCGCAACCAGCACGACCAACATGAAGATAGAACGTGACATTCCGAAAGGATGCAGGCCTGATGTAGAACGTAAATACCTTTCGGCTAGAGTGCAAACGGCAGCAGCAGATCACAGTGCGACATGGCACTCGGCCACGAGCCGTCCTGCAACGCGGTGGCACCAATTTTCCAGCGCATCTCGGGGCTGCACCGTGTGGAACGGACTCCTGCTGTCGACCTCAGAAGTGCATGGACGATGTCCAGGACCTGGCACAGGAAGGGCGAGATGTAAGGGGAGCAAGGCTTGAGACTCGCAGCAAGGCAAGCGGATTCTAGGTTCTTTGATCGGCAAGGAGCGATCAGAATGTCTCAGGTCTCATACGTGCTGGTGAACCGGGGTGAAACATGATACTTCATGACACTTTCAGCGCAGGGCCAACTGTGGCAGAGACTTTGAAGCTTGCAAGCCCTGCATCCCTACGAGAGGAGCGAGAGGCTTCAGGCTCTTGAGGCTCGGCTTGGTCACAAGGCGGTTCTTGAAGCCGTCGGACCAGATGTCCGTTGGCTTCTCGCTGTCCAGGCGCTCGTTCAGGAACTTGAACTGGTCTGCGGCATAGGCTCGGAGAGATTGCAGCTCCTGCTTCGATGTTTGCACACCGCATTCCAGGTGACCGTTCATTGCCGAGTTGGTCACCGCTTGCTCAGCGAGGTTTGCCTCGAGGACATCCATGTCTCCTTTGCATTGCACCAGGCGTTCATCGAGAAGACCCAGCTGCTTGGAAGTAAACTCCCTCAAGCCCTTCAGCTCCTTCTGTGCAGTAGTCAGGCCGCACTCCAAGTGACCATTCAGCACTGAGCTTGTGATGGCCTGTTCCGTCATGGCTGCCTCCATCTCTTCGACCTTTTCAACAAGGGATCTCTCGGCGAACTCAGCGAGTCGGTCATCCAGACTCTTGAGCTGGTCTGAGGCATACCTGCGAAGGCTTTCCAGCTCCTTTTGTGCAGTGGCAAGGCCGCACTCCAAGTGACCATTCAACGCAGAGCTCGTAAGGGCCTGTTCTGTCATCTCCCTTTCAAGATCTGCCACAGTGGCCGCTAAAGCATCGAGCTGGGTCTGCTGTGCCGCGTCGTGGAGCAGCTTCTCTACGGTCTGGAGCCGTTCTTCAATGTCAAACCCCACGTCCTCAAAACAGATGACAATGCTTCAGGTACGCCAGCCTTCTTTCGCCTTCACAAATTTTTGTTGGCCCCTCACTGAGTTCAGGGCCGAGTCCTTTGACGATGCTTGGGGAGGCGCCTGGCTCAGAGCATCTCAGAGGCTCAGAGCCAGGAAGGGGGTGTGCGCTTCAAGCCCAAGCCCAGGCCGCTGCCTCCTTTTCAGGTTCTTCTTCAAGCTTCTGGAGGCGAGCCTCGAGCTCTCGGATCTTCTGCCACTCTGGCTTCTCCCCTGGGTGCAACGGAAGCGCAAAGAGTTGCTGTGAGCGCTTGGCTGCACTGTGCGGTCGCACACTTTCTGAGCTCTCTGCGCAGTTGCAGAAGGCAAAGGCCCTTGGAGCATGCCAAAGAGCGCTCGAAGGTCTCCTCCTCGACCTGATGAGGCTAATTATGCTCTCAATTCTGCCCGTATACCCAGACATGGGGACCTGCCTTCCCATGCGCGTCGTAGAGGTCGTAGGCTTCAGGATGCAGAGAGAGCAACTGTTCGGCCTGAGAATACATGCAAGCAAGATTGTTTTTGTTTTGCTGCGACATGATATGTGATCTGCCTGCTGGCGAATTCCACCATAGCCAGCACTGGTCAGCAGCTCGAGACGACGATCGCCATAAGCGAGGAAAAGGGGCACCTCAGCTCCGCAGCCGATCACGAAAGTCTTTTCGGCCCACGCTCTGATACAGTCTGCTTGCAGCCCGGCGGCGGGAGGCGCTTGCACCATGAAGCTCTGCTAGATATATGCTTGCTCTAGCACAGCCCCTTCGTGGCTAATCTGCAGCGAGCCATTCGTGCACGCGGGAATTGGCTTGCAGAGAAGTACTAGATTGCACGACTTGGAAGCGCGAGCACCAGCTTGAAGCAAATTCAGCCGGGTTACTCTGCAGCGCTAACGACCTGCTGCTTCCTGAGAATAACAAAAGATCGAAGCTGCAACCAAGCTCATCCCATTGTCACACATGAACGTCGATTTGCAATCTCTTCGAAAAAGATGTCCTCACTCGTCGTCTGGATCGCCAGAGCGTGCCGGAAGGCGCATCTTCCAGCGGCAGATGGGTTGCAAGCAGCAGGCGGACATGATCGTCAAGCCTTGATTCTCCGAAGAATAGGCGACCGGGACCTTGGAAGTTGACAGTACCAGCAAGTGCGGCTCGACCCATGACTCAATGATTCAAGCTCGTAGATGATCTTCCCTCTCGCTCTGCCGAGGCTGCGAGGTGACTGGTAGATGAGTCTGAGTCTGATACGAAAGTCAGATCTCGCACGTACCCTAGAAGCAGCCGCCGCGCCAGCGCAGACGCCAGCACCTGATGAACAAGCAGCTAAAGGGCGTGTCGTGTCTGCGCTACAAAAAGGGATGGCTGCTGCGGGCAGCGGTTTTCTTGTGCATGAATCCGACTCCCAACTGGGACACGCATCGCAACACAGTTCTGTGCTCTGGGAATCGCGAAAGAAAGCTTCGGAAGTCGTGGACAACCATGCCCACGGACGTCATCACACGGAAAGTATGCGGACCAGGACTCCCACTTCATTCCAGGTGGCAGAGCTTCGCAAGACAGCTCCACAATTCATGGTGGGTCGGGGCGAACATGAGAAACTGGCGAGCCGGCCCCTAGACTGCCTAATTAATTGGTTCTGATTCTGTACGATTCTGTAGGACTGAAAGCGAACACTCAGGCGAATGCTGAAGCTGCTCTCTTCAGACGGCGCTCGACTCGCGGGGCTGAGTCACAGCCGTGGAAGTAGACCTCCGCTCTAGAGTCTAGAGACATGTGGCAGCGGCTGTGTGCCAAAGCGCTGAATCCGAACAGAAGTGATTCAAACCAATTTGAGCCCGAGGCGATGTAGGAGCCATCTTCAGGTCCTGATGCTTCCACCTCAGAGGTCTATAGTTATGCCAGCCACAACACCCTTCCAACAAAGTTGTTCGGAAATGTGCAGGCCTTGGCAATCCGTATCTTCACCGGGCCTGCCGTCTTCATGGCCTCCAGGGCGGGCACACGCTGCACATGCCTTGCCGGAGGAGGCGGACCTTCTGCAGCAATAAAGGCGGGTTCGCCAAGATGAGCTCCAACCTCAGAACGCATGCCTAAGGCGGTCCTCGGCACCTTGCAAAGAATTGTGCTACCAAGGAGCTGAAGGGCCAACCTTGGTGAAGCTTTGCTTAACGACAGGACTACCAGAAAGGGTCGGCTCTTCCAACCCTGAGCACCACACGACTCCTGCCTTTTCGACTCCAAACGGGCCTGTATCTCGTCCTGAGGGTCCTTTACGAGAGAGTCGAACACCTCCTGGAAGCGCTAAGAAGGCCATCGCCAAGGGCAAGAACCTGCTTTGCAATTCTCTAAGTCTAACCTGCCGGAGATGCCTGCACGACCGGTAAAGGAAGCTTCACCGCAGGCGGAGCCGGTTCCTCCGGGGGCACAGCCAACGCCTTGGAGGGCGAGAGCTGAAGACGTCTTCGGATTCGCGTCTCCGTCTTCTCATCTTGCACCGAGGACACTAAGGAATATGCCAGGCCAGAGCCGTCCCAAGTCTTCTGGAGCTTTGTCTCGAGGATACTGAGAAATACGCCGGGAAAAAGCCGTGCCGCAGTCTTCTTTTTGCATTTGTCTTGCCATTTTGCACGGAGG